TATGTGACTAAAAATTAATTAGTGACCAATAAATTTGAAAATATGTGATTGAAAGATAATTGTGACCTGTAATTTTTTGTGACCAATAAAATAATATGTGACCTATAAAATTATTGTAAATTATATGTGACCTAAAAATTATATAATCTGTGACCGTAAAAAATCTCTGACCAATTAATTTGAAAATTTGTGACTGTGTGACCTATAAATTTTGATCTGTGACCAACTAATTTTGCAATTTGTGACCAACGAATTCAATGTGACCTATAAAAATTTTGAACTGTGATCGTAAATTGTAAATCTGTGATCGGAATGATTGTCGGAATAGTCGCCGGAATGGTCACAGGAATCAGAGCAGTCGTCGGAGTGGTCGGCGGAGAAGAGTGGTCGCTGAAATGGTCACCGGAATAGTCCCCGAAGAGGGTAGGGATAATGCATGTGGGGTGAATTTATTATATTATATTATATTAGAATTAAAAAAAAAAAAAAACCTGATTTTTGAATTTTCAAACTATAAATATAATTTTTGAATTGGTGTAAACTAAACATTTTATTTGTGAATTTTCCATTTTTTAAAAAATTGACAGCTAATTCAACATCAAACCATTAACCTTAAAATAATTGAAATTGACCAGTAAAGTCCTTTTGGGTCAACGTCGTTATTTGTTTTTATTTACTTTAATCCAAAGCTAATCAAATTACGCCACCAATCAAAAAACACTTTTACCTTACCACGCGTGACAAGCCATCTTTATTCCTCTCCCCCCCAATATAAAGGAAAATTGCACAACTTGTCCACAATCTATACCTCATGTAGCGTATCCGGTCCAAACGGGGCAGAGTTAGCAGCAGAGAAGTCGATTCGGCATTGACAGCTTTGTGCCATGTTGGAGCGGTCCAATGTGTGGAAAACTCATTTATATCTAATCTATTTTTTCTAGCTTGGCTAAGAATTTGGTCTTGGTTCGTGCAATCGAAGATGGCCTACATTGGCACAAGAATTATGAGATTGTAGCAGTAAGTGTTTGGGGTCGAATATGACATTCATCAAACGATACTTAACTCCTTTTTGGTTCTCATTTTCTCAATTTTTTTTAAAACTCATTTTCAATCATATTTTTTATGATATCCATAATTTTTATCAATATTTCAATCACGTATTTCATCAGCCTTAATCAAAATTTACTAAAAAATTGATTTTTATCTAAACCAAATAGAGGCTGAATAACACATACAGTTAAATCTAGTTTTAAACTGTTACAGCTCAAACAAACACAGTTCACTTCCTATTTTTAGGACAAAATATAACTTTATAAGTTAAGACTTGAGAATTACATCACGATTTGATCAAATTTAGTAGGTTATTTGATTGTTATGGAAAGTTATGGACCAATTCACTACTCACACAATACCACTTTTGCAATTTTCTCAAAGTGAATATAACGAATGTTTGGGAAAACGCGAAACTCATTTTCCCTTCCAAAATTTTGGAATTTCACTGTCAATTTGATTTTCCCACCCCCGAATTTCCATCTCCCAATCGTAAAGTGATTTGTTATTGTAATTCTGCGGGAAATCTTTATTTTTGCGTTCGTTTATACTTGCAATCGTAATCAGCTTTGTGAATAAAGAGAGAATATACTTGGCAGAGGGGAGAAAAGAAAAATGTCGCCAACAGCGGAGGCGTCGGCCGCGGCTAACCAAGCTGAGCAACTTCGAAAAGACGGAAACAGTTATTTCAAAAAAGATCGTTTTGGTGCCGCCATCGATGCTTATACCGAGGTATTTTTAGATTTGTGGATGTATACATTTGATAGGATACTCGTATATGCCTTTTTTGGAATTTTAATTTTCTTTCTTGTGGTTCTTTTAGGCTATTACGTTGTGCCCTAATGTCCCGATTTATTGGACCAACCGGGCTTTGTGCCACCGCAGGCGGAAGTACGTACAATCATTATTTTGGTTAAAATGCATTGATGTTTGTTTTTTTTAAGTTACTTTAAATGTATATTTTCTTGATTGAAAATTTGATTCTTTAGTCACTATATCCATTGAGTCTCAATGATTTTTAGTTTGCCTTTTGGGGTCACTTTTAAAGGTATATTTTCTTGATTGAAATTTTTGATTCTTTAGTCATTATACCCATTAAAACGTTGGACTTCTGTTTGTTTTTGGGTGTGACTTTTAAATGTTTATTTAATTTCTTCTTGAAAGTTTGATGTCTGTTTTTGTGGGTGCAGTGATTGGACCAGAGTGGAGGAGGACTGTAGGAGAGCAATTCAGCTCGATAACAATTCTGTCAAGGTCTTGTATACTAGTGATCATGATTAATGAGTTCATTGATTTTACTTGCTTGGATGGTTTGATTTTTCATAACGTTTTAGATACTTTGGTATTATTTCTTTTTGTTGTTTATTATTTTATCTCCTTGGGATTTATTAGAACTTCATTGAAATGATTGTGCTGACTTCAAAAAATGCTATTCAGCACTAAGACGGTGATAAAGAGAAAAAACAGTTTGAACAAGCTTGGAAGACTTGGATCTAGATTGTTAATTTCTGGAGACTGAATAATATAATGGTGACAAACATTTCTTACATTTTCTATTACCATGGCCCAAATCTATTGCAATCATGAAAACCAAATAATTCATGACATTTGCTTGCTGCCCATGTTCAAACCAGCTACACATACACACTATTCCACTTCTTTCAACTCAATTACCATAGTTGGATTTGCCGACCTCCACCGACACGCCATTAAAACTCCATTTACTATTTTTACTATTTGGTGCTCGGTGCTCCATATACTATAATTTCCATGCAGTTCGGTTATTTTTTGCCATTTAGTTATTGAGTATAAATTAAGGAAGAGGACTTGTATGGTTGAGGTACGCCTTGAGTATACCAAAGTGGGTCCAGTCAGTAGAACATGTCAGCAGAGGGAAGGTCAGAGGTGGGAATTTAAGAAAGGCGTAAGCCTTGAGGAGCACGCCTCAAAGACGAGGAGGCGTAAACCTCTCGGCATTTATCTTGGAAACTATTTTTCTTTAAAGTTCACATATGTTATTGGCCGACTTCAGTGGAAATATACTATATATTAAAATAGTTTTGGAAATCTAACATGTTCTAATAAAATTTACCTATTTTAATTGATTAACACAACACACATAAACTAAACACACAACGCACGTAAAACAACATTGTGACCCCTATATAACTTCATAACTCTTGCGACAACGGTGATATCACCTTAAGTAGTTATTTTGTTTTGAAAATTTAACATTTGTGATTTATGTTTGTTTATTTTTCAACTTTTTTTGGTTCTCAGTGAGGCTTATGCCTCAAAGCACCTCGAGGCTTACGCCTGACCTCATGAACAATATCTCAGTACCGGACCTCTCCTTTTTAAACACTGAGTTAATTAGTGAAAAAGGTCACTAGTCAACCAACACCTGTGCTTTATGGTTCATTATAAGCTCTTTCAGATGCTGAAGAAACATTTCAACATCTAACTAACTGGTTAATGTTTTCTCTTAGCTAGGAGGTATCCTAAGCAACTGCGTCAAATGTAATGTTTACTGCTGGTATTTCGATATTGAGATTTGATGCTTATTTTAGGTTTGTGGTGATAGCCAATGCGGCCAGGTTTTTCCAGTGTTAAGCACAGAGCTCTCTTAAAGGAAGAAGTATGAGATGCAAAATTAAGGAGAAAAGGAGCGCTCTTGATTAAATTTTGGGCTTTTTGAGTCCTTTTCATCTGTACTCCTATTCATTATAGTAGATTATTACTTGTTTTTCATATTGTGGGTGCCGAAAGGGTATTTGTTTATGAGATGCGTATAAAATCTATGTCCAATATTATTTAATGTTGATTTCACTTGAACCTTTGGTGAAGTTCTAATTGATATCTACTGCGATTTACCAAATTTGCTAACGTTTCTGTATTTCTCTTGCATGTATGGAAAATTTTTATTTTGGAAACTACCAGCCTCATCTACATGACAAATGGAAAATGTTTGACATATTTCATTGGTTATTCTTGGTTGGGTTTGATCTCTGCCGATTCTGCTGTAGCATGCATGCTTTATTTGTTGGTCTTGTATTATGGTTCTCTGTCACATCTTCCTTGGTTACTGAATGTTCACTTTAGGAATTCTAGCGTATTGCTAAGGGTTTTACAATCTGGAGCATTATTATTGACTTTTGCATTTTACAGTTTCATCTTATTTGTCTGTCACTCATCAAACTAACTTGGAAGTGCTTTGCATAATGGCAGGCTCACTATATGCTTGGTCTTGCACTGCTACAAAAGGAAGAATACACTGAAGGAGTCAAGCAATTGGAAAAAGTATGGCGTTTTATTTCATAAAGAATTTTTCCAGAAAATATTAATATGCAAAAACAAATCTTTTTAGCTTTGCAAAAATATGCATTCCTGTGGAGGCATATGCTTCATTCAAGTCTTGCATGAATGACCAATGCAAGCTTTTGATAATGCTAACAAATGGAAGCCCATTTGCTCTCAGGTTATCCTCATAATAGCTTCACCCATTTCTTTCTTATAGACAAAAAGCTACTCGTTGCTTTCTGAAATCAGTCATGCTCTCGTGGAATTAAATATTACTTAACCTGGCATGCCTTGTTAGATGGTACGCTTGCTTAGTTGCTTTATAGGATAACATGTGCGGTAAAAATTGGTTAGTCTTTGGGCGTCTTGTTGCTTTTGTGGTTTATTTTGATTAGTCACCTACTTTGTATAGTTTATTTCTCATTGTGCTTTCCACCAGGTTTCTAATCTCCTTACGACTGTCTAACTATTACATTGTTGTGATATATTAAGGTGATGGCATTAATGTTATTGTGGTTGTTTGTTCATTTGCAAAACTCATATAAGTTTTTCAAGAAGAATATTTACAATTAATGGGGATGTTTTTGATATTTTTATGATATCTCAGGCCTTGGATCTTGGAAGGGGTGCAAACCCTAAGGGTTACATGGTAGAGGAGATATGGCAAGAGCTTGCAAGAGCAAGATATTTGTTGTGGGAACAGGAATCTACCAAACGTTCATGGGATCTTCAAAATTTGAAGTAATTGCTTTTTTCTGTTTCAAGTCCGGGTCTTCATCTTCTGTGATTCCCTCTTTTATTTCTGTTTTCTCTGCTTTGAATGATATTGGTATCTTAATTATCTTTCCGTGTCTTAGAGAAACATGCGTGGCAGCTCTGATGGAGAAACATTTCCTTGACTCTTCACCAATGGAAGGATTTACGGATGAAAATTCTATATCCAATTTAGAACAATTGGAAGCTTTAAATGGAGTCTTTAACAGAGTCGCTGAAGATGATATCCCAACTGAGGTGAGCTTTTGAGATTCATTCACAGAATTTCCCCTTATTGGAATTTTATTTTCATTTGACTCGGTGACACCAATTGTGAGGATTTCAGGTTCCGGACTATCTGTGCTGTAATATTACTCTAGACATTTTCCGTGATCCTGTCATTACTCCAAGCGGAGTTACATATGAGAGAGCTGTAATTCTTGATCATCTGCAGAAGGTAGCTAGCATTAATTGATATGCAGTTGTAATTTCCATTTATTTATATTCACATATTTATCCTCCAGTTACATGTATTAATCCTTAACTTTGTCATCTTTAAGGTTGGCAACTTTGATCCAGTTAGCCGTGAACCGTTGGATCAATCACAGTTGGTGCCCAATTTAGCCATAAAAGAAGCTGTGCGGGCATTTCTGGAGACACATGGGTGGGCTTACAGGACGGATTGATAGTCTTACCGTATGTCAGTTGTATGGCTCAGGTAAAAGATGTACAACTCATCTTTTCTCTTCAGTTTGGGTCAAGCAGGTTCAGACATTCATCATGGTCGGTTATCCTATTATACTCGAGTGTAATTGTTGATCCCTGTTTACTCTACAATATGACAAGTGTGAAGTCAACTTGATTGCCTTGGAAATGTACAGTATCTATTTCTGAACATGTACAGGGTCGTAGAACTCTATCCGTAGATGGGAAAAAAAAAAGAAAAAAAACTTTGCCGTATGATCAATCATGCATTCCTTGGCTTTAATTTTTCTCTTGAATTTTCTTCCTGCCTGATTCATGCTCTCTATGAATATAATGCCTAGTTCCTAAACTGAAAGAAACTGGCATTGCTTGCATATCCAGATTTATTTGGCTGGAATGATGGTTTGTTAATTTTTAAATTAACAAAAACAAGGCACTGTATTCATTTTTTAGTCCACTGTGTGACACGTGCACAATTTTCATAAATTAGTGGCAGCGAGATTAAACTTACAACTTCTGTATGTTGTGATTTCTACCCATTGGCCTAACTGTAAGGCCAACCTGTCCCACTAGAAAAGGTTGGCACGACCTTTTTTACACTTGTACGTACGCACACCATAGCTTGATTCCAGGTTGATGCTGCCTAGTGTTGCTCAGTGGAGAAACATATTGTTCTTAGCTACATTATTTGGATGAAGATAAAGCAAAATTGTCTGTGAACACATGAATTAGACAAATGTGTTGCCATAAGTGTGGGACTATGGGCACAAAATGTGCTCTGTCACCAGCTGTGTAGTTCGTGTGTGCAGAAACTACACATGGTAGATCCCCATTTTCAATTTATTGAAACTTCTACAGAATGGGGGAATTTGGGTATAATTTTCAGAGCCCATTTAACATTACTTTCACACGAGTTTGTCCTACTCGTTAGAAGTCTTTTACTGTAGATTCTTGTTGTCTTTTATGACATGTTTAATATATTGAATTTGACAATACCGTTAAAGAAAAAAAAAAGTTAAATTCTTATTCATTATCAGTCTTGTTCAATTCAATACTTTATATATTGTGATTCCAGTCTAATTTCAATCTTATAACAAATTAATCAATTCCATGAAGGATTAGATATTGAAGTTCGAGGCATGAATTTCTGTGGTGTATATTTAGCATTTGAGAAAATATAATTATCTAAATACATGACAATAGAATCATAACTCGAGATTGTTATCCTTTGGCATGTTTTATGTATTAGAATTGACACGGGTGGTAATGGGTCGAGCCGAGTTGACTTGGTCCTTCGGCTCGTGGGCCTCACGAACAGAGTCGAGCTTGTGAGCCGGAAAGTGGCTCAGTCCGACTTGACTAACATCCTTAGGTATAATTTAAAATAGGGAAAAATTCACAATTAAGGCATTAATTTTGTACAATGCAAAAATCAGGTTTTAAGTTTAATTAATGTAAAAATCAAGTATTTATATTAATTAAATATATTTTATTAATTAAATATAATAAAATCACAATTATATAATTATAGGTCACGGGTACATAATTGTAGGCTACAACTTATTTATTGATCACGTATTAAATAATTAATTTGTCACATATTAATTCAAAATCACAAATCAAAAATTTATAGGTCACAGACAAAAAAATTATAGTCAATCACTCATATATTTCCAAATTTGTTGGTCACAAATTATTGAATTTTAAGGTCATAGATAAAAAATTATAGGTCACAATTTATCGATCAGTCACGTATTTTCAAATTTGTTGGTCACAAATTATCAAATTTTAAGGTTACAGTTAAATAATGGTCACAAGTAACCAAACCCTAAACCCAATCCATTCATCCAACGACCTATTAACACACGATCCCAGTGCCAACGACGGCAACCCCATCACCTCCAAAACCCGATCCATTCATCCGACAGTTTTCTCAAAACCTCGTCTCCTCCCTGTCATCTCCTCAAGCCCGATGCCTCGTCTCTCCCTGTCGTCGCAACGCCGACAATTCCACACACAGATCCGCCCCAACAAAACACCACCATAACCAGTTAATCACAGCCAACAACAGTCAACATCCCACGACGGTAACAAAACCATGGCATTTCTTGCAGATCTGCTTTGCGCAGCAGTGGCCTGTGCCGACAGATCTCATGCGCGACTTTGCCACTATCACCAACACGAGGCGGTGTTCGTCGGAATAGAACGAGGAACGACATGAAGCGACCTATGATGGTGGTGGTGGTGTCGGCTGCTTCGTGTGGCTCCACTTCGGCAGCTTCGAGTGCAGCGAATCCTTTTCGATAGAGAGAGAACTGAGAATAGAGATAGAGAAGTGAGCGAGGTAGAGAGTTAAGGGCGGCGACGGGAGGGAGGTGATGGGTTGGTTTAGAGAGAGAATGTAGAGAAGAAAGGTTTAGAGAGAGAGAGTGTGTGTAGAGAAGAAAAGGGCGAAGAAAATGAATTTGGTCCATCTTTCCCTGATTAATATATTAATAAATTATCAAAATAATTAATACCTGATTTTTGATTAAATAAATTTCATACCTGAATTTTGCATTTGAAAGTTTAAGTACCTAGTTTTTTGTAATTTCCTCTTTAAAATATATACACTATACTACTTTCTCACATAAATATAATAATATAATATTAAAAAATAATTTTATTAGTCGGAGTCGTCCCGTCTTTGTTCCGTAATCTGGGAATTTTCGTCCCCTTGCCATGCCTTTACCTTGGGAGTATATTTGCGTTTATTGAAAAAGTAATTCCACAAATAATGCTTCCTTTTTGTCTGTCTTTCCTAAGCTGATAATGAAAGGAGTAGGTTCCCACCATCTTGATAGGATAAAATGAATTATTATCAATTGTGGACAAAATCCAATTTTCAATGAATAAAATCACAACTTGTTTAAATGATTTGTAAAAGAATTGTCACTTCCATCAAAAATTATTTTGTACACTAATAATCATTACCCTCATTATTGGCCATCTATAAATATTCATAATCTCGATAATATTCTGATATCACGTTAAATAACTCGTCCAAAAGTTGTTCTAGATGCTCTTGCTTTAGTATATTAAAATTTGTGGTTTTTGATACTAGACTAAAATTTGAGTCAATGGCTACAATTTCTTGTTACGTCTAATTTCTTTGAGGCCAATAATATCTATCCACCTTACCAAACATGGAAGGTAGACGGGGATATAGAATAATTGAACACCTTTTGCAAAGCAAGAAAATTTATTTGGCATATTTAAAATATATTCCAATATGGATATATAAGCTTTATCGATTTCCAATTTGCCTGATCCGTTTGTTCTTCCCCTTTGATTTTGAATCGGATTCTTAGATATTCAAAGGACCACAGTTGCATGTGTCTGTCCAATGTTTAAATATCATCCCTTGTAGGGAAATGAAGAAAAACCTATTAAGAGTATGAGACATGCTACAGGTACAGGAATTCTTGTCAGAATACACACAGCAGGGGTAGGCGGGTGGGATTTTTGGCAAATATTTTAATTCACATGGGGCTCACCTCATGAGAGTGAAATTCAAAAATCTGTATTAATTCTGTTAATTTTTCCCCGTACTCACATCAATTTTCTAGGAGTATTATAACAAAAAATGATTTTGCTCCTTAAGAAGTGCTTTTGAGGTTCAAAAATGTTCTTTGAAACGCACACTTAGGGTCTGTTTTTAACAGGTTTTTAAAAAGTCAAAAACTGCTTTTGAACCTCTGAAGGTGCTTTGTTTAGCTAGAAGAACTTTAAAGAAAATTGATTCAAGCAGACTTTCTTAAAATCCCTCTTACGAGATGTACAAGCAAAAATAGAAATTCCGTCCAACGAACAATCTTATTTGTGGACTCAATGGTGCCCCTCATCAGTCATTTTCTAACCAAAAAACTTTCACCTCAGATTTTTATTAACACGTGCAGTGATATTTGAAGATAGCAGGGTGAGTGGTTCCTTGAACAGAAAAAAAATAGTGGGATGGGATGGGGATATGATTGAAGACTTTCACATAAAATTTGAGTTGCATATTGGATAGACCATAAAACCAGACATCACATGACAGACAACATGGAAACATTATTCCCACACCATTTTCCCATCCCAATTTGGAACCATTCATTCGATAATCAGTCACAGATACATAACGCCAATGGGTTTTGGCTTCATCTCATGCAGTAAAAATTTCAAACATGAAAAAAAATACAGCCATTAAATCCATTAAGCAACCAAAAAATGTATGGAGAATGAACCGAGGAAAAATATTCTTTGTAGCCAATCCCGAGTTTGTAAAAAATGGGTTTCTTGTTGTACGAATACTACCAAGACACGAAAAATGTATCATGTGTAATGAACCCACAAATACTACTCACTTATCCACTAATCATTTTTATCTATTTATAATATAAATTAGTTATAACATTGAAATTCATGGGATATGGGAAAACCCATGTGCTAGAATTATTTGACAGAAAAATAGGAAGAAACCAGCAAAGCAAGTGCTGTCATAGCATATTAAGGCAGTCTACTCAAAACCCATGTGCAACATCTTTGAACAATATTGAAAAGAGACTTATGAGTAAAGCTTTCTTTAGTATTATGCACAAACCATATACTTAAGATCAAGCCCTGCTTAGATAATAAAATATACAGAATGAACATCGAAAATGACAACAAGATACCTCAATTGTCGATGACGAAGGTAAATGAAAATATGTAGAATTTACAGAATATGTGCTCGGTATACCCACATCACGCGGTATGGGTAAGATTGATAGCCCGATTCAGTCTTTCAAGTATACCGCTGGCCTTTCTTTTGGCTCTGGACGAGCCATTTTCAGCGAGCTTAGAGATAGTCCCATATGTGTTTTCCTCGTCCCTCATCTGCTTCCACTTGGATCGATCGCTATAACAAATAGTAAAAAGGATTGCAATGCCATTCTCCTTGTTTCGAGCACAAGATGTCTCCCTGATTATACTAAGCAAGCATTCAACTCCCCCGAGCTCTCCCATTTGCTCGACAGCTGTTTGACTAGTTGAAAGCATGGCGAGGATGGACAATAGCTCGTCAACATGTATTCGATTCATGATCTTTTCCAGGATAACTCTCACCGCACCATCTCTAACAGCTCTCAACTTATTCTCATGAAGAATACATAGATTAAAAATTGCAGAAGCAACATCTTTCATAGCTAAAAGATGTCCCTCTTCTAGTAAGTCAATAAGAGGTTTCAAAGCACCGGATTTACCAATCAGCTCCTTATTTGAGTCGAGAGCCGATAATGTGAAAAGTGCTGCAGCTGCATTACTCCTTGTTTGAATAGTGCTCGATCTCAAAGCATCGATAAGAAGCGGAATAACCATTGGCATTTCTGCAACGAGCTTTTTATTGTTATCGTGAATGGAGAGATTCAAAAGTGTTGTGATTATATCCTCATGGAGGTCCGGCTGAACCTCATTCCGAGTCTTGCTTTGAGATAGCGGGGACAGCAGCTGAGGTATTGCATTGCGAGATTCGCCAAAAAGTGCACGGAACGAAGGTATTCTTTTCGTCAATAGCCGCAACTCTCTCGCGGATTCTTTTTGCTCAGACAATGTTGATGACATTTTCTCAAGCAAACATAGGAACCGGTCCCGGTCATCTCCAGTTAAGCCATCCTCATCGGAATACTGAACAGAGTCTGACAATTTAATACCGTGATTCTTGCACCATTGCAATATCATTTCCTTAATCAAGTGATTCGGCGTAAGAATAGTGTGCGATAATACTTGTTGTGTTCGAGGGCATGTCCTATTCCCAGATTTTAACCATTTCTGAATGAAGGGTCGATCATAAGTCTGCACACATTGTAGCAAGAATGTTAACAGTATGAACAAGAGACGCATTAAACAAGAAACTGCATTCTAAGATCTTAAAATTTCCAAAAATTAAAAATGGATTTTCATGTCAGCATATCAACCAAATGATAGATACACAAATCAACTGCAATCAGATAACCGAATAAGTCAAAATGCTAAAAAATTGTACAAACCTCTGTTCAATCACACATACGCACACATACAAATTCAGAGTGCGCTTCCGTAGAAAAAATTAATAAAAATAGTGCCCAAAATCCTGCAAATTATCTTGTCAAAATCAATGTTTCGTAGTCCAGAAGAAGAAGAATTTTCCTCCAACAGCCAAATCAAACACAGTTTAAAAAAATTTACAAAATCCAACACTCAAAGACACACATTAACTAATTATGAAAAAAATTTCACAGAAGATGATATGAACCAAATCAAATCCGATTTGTGGAAGTAAATTTCGAACCTGTCCGGTGGCTACAATAACAGGATCCCCCATAAGTTCTTTAGAAAGTGGGCATTTAAATTCCTCCGGCAACGCACCAGAAACTACCTCACTGCGACGATTATCATGAAAACTAAGAGATAAATATTTCTTCAATTTCAATTCCTTCAAAGCAGAAAGCATTTGCTGGGCTTTATCAATTGCCTCCAAGTTAACTTCCTCGTCATCAACAATTGCCTTGACCAATTTCTGCAATTCCCTTTTCAATTCCATGGCTTTAGACACCATTCCTGGGTCGCCTTCAAACACCCCACTCTTCGCCATCACTCTATAAACCCAATGTACACCATTTTTTTTTTTTTTTGTAATTCTCTGTTCACACTCTTAGGGGCTCTAGATTTTTTCCCTTTTTTACCCACAGCAGTGAATGGCTATGAGTGAAGTGAGGAATAAGAATGTGTTTGGGGAAGTGGGTGCGTGTGGGGTGGGGTACGGTCCAAAACCGTGGGCGGGAAGCTGGCAGCTACGCGGAAGAGAAATAGCGTGGCTTCGTCGTGCAAAGTAATTACATATGCGGTGCGTTGCAGTGCAGCTGGGGGCGCGTGACAGTGGAGATGTGTTAGGTCAAATTCAGCGCCGTTTGTTTTAAATTAAATTCAATTAAAATCTCGAATCAAAATTGACAATTAATTTTAATAACGTATTTATGATATCATAATTTTTCAACCACTCATTTCAATTAATATTATAATTTAAAAAGAAAAAAACAGCAATAAATCCCAAAAATAAAAATAAATATTTGAAGTTTGAGACTTTCTCGGGAGAGGAAGATGCAAAGATCTGCTTTGTAAGATTCTTATCTTTACTTATTATGCGTTATAAAATAACTTTATGAAAGTTACTTTATGTCGCTTTTCCTAAAAGAATTTCTAATCGAACAAAAAACTTTTAAAACATCACATTTGAAATTAAATTATTATTATTATTATTATTATTATTATTATTATTATTATCGCTGTTTTTTCCTTTAAAATTATAATATTAATTGAAATGAGTGGTTGAAAAATTATGGATTCTATAAAATATACAGTAAAAATCAATTATTAACTGTACTTTAGATTAAAATCTATATTTTAATTCGAGCTTAGAATAAAAATGTCTTTTATTTCTTTTTCTTATTACTTTTCCTTTTGAGAGACTACACAAATTTGAGTACACATCCAACAAAAGTTAATAAGAATGTGTTTGGTAGTGATTTTTGGGGGAATAATTGATTTTTGAATAGTGATATGATGGGAAATGTGTGGTCGAAAAAGAAGAAAAAAGTATTGATGTGATGGAAAATATTATTTTATTGAAGAATGTATGGTTGAAAATGAGAAGTGATTTGCTGTAGAAAATGAGAATCTATACCAAACAGACCCTAATTCTTGTAGCTTGTAAGAATTATTTAAAATAATAGAAAATAAAGAAATTATCACAGTCGACAATTTTCTAGTAATTAAAAAACAAAAATTAAAAGGGAGTATGAATTTAGATACACGAAATTTAGTGGTTGGTAGGAATACGAGTTGAGATTGAAAGGGACACGTGTGTAGCGATGGAAGCATGTATGCATTTGAGGATGAATTAATAATTTAAATCTTTTAATAGTTGGAAGATAATGGCATGTGCATCATTAGGAATGGATTTATGATGGTTGACCTATATTTTCATTCAATTTTACAAAAAAAAAAAATAATAAATTTAAATAAAATCAGAGGCTGATTTCGTGTAGTTTATGAGAATTGGGAGAAAATATTATTTTATTAAAAATGTGTAGTTTATGAAAATTGAGAAAAAATAAATTATAATTTAATAAAAAATAATGAGGTCCGGACCGACTCAATTGGTAGTCGGCATAATTTGGGCCCTACTATTTTAGGTCAAAAGTCAAAACGACCTTTTAGATTGTTTTGTCGCTCTCTTATTTTTTTAAAGTTAATTAATCTAATTAACCAAATAAATTAAGATTAATTAAAGTTTGAAGAAAAGAACGTCTCACCTTTTTGTTTTAAGATAATTAAATTGCCGCATTTTCCGTTACTTGATTAAAGATTGTAACAATTGTGATATCTTCATCAATCCCCACTTCAAATCTTCTATATATTAAAAGTGGTTATGTAACGAAATTTCTTGTTTTAACGGAAAAACTAACAGAATTTCTTGTTTTAACGGATTATGTAACGGAATTTCTTGTTTTAATCAGGCAGCTGCACCTTCTTTCATTATTTTTATCATAACTTTGTATTCCGATATCCGATTGAGGCGATTCAAAATGCGTTGGAAAGCTAACTCATCTGGCTAAAACGTTGATTCAGACATCATTCTCCAATTCGATCACTTTATATGTCAAAAATAGGTCTCAATATGAGACTAAAACACCGGAGCATAACTTTTCGGTTGAAAATTGATTTGTAATCATCTTTTGACTAAATTTGATCATCTTGACGTCTTCCTTTATCCAATTGACTCCGAACACTCTCAAATCTTCATCGTGAGATTCGGCACAACTTTTAAGTATTTACATTTTAGTCCCCGAACTTTAGATCCCTTAAAAATTTAGCAATTTCTCCAAATTTGTCAACTTTTGCTTATTTTCTTCAATCTCACCAACCTACATCACAACATCAAAATCACACATTTAATTATTTATCAATTACATAAACATTACATCATTAATTATTTAGATGGCGTCTGTTCCAGACACGTCCTTAATTAACCAAAAAAATTGCATCTTTATTGACAACAAATTAATTCTTAAACAAAACTATTAAATATAAATTAAGAAAAACGTGCTTTACACGTTACTCGCACCTAGTAATAATAATAATAAAGAATACGTGACATAATTCAGTGGTGCGAAGGACATGAGTGAGGTAGTCTCAATTGAGCTGACAACCATAATGTGAATGTTCAATTCCTACCTCTTACAAGGTATGAAATGAGTCTTTTTGTAGACACCGGTGTGAAAATTCTTGTACCCTAACCTGCTGAATTCCTCCACAATGCTCTAAGGATGGGGCGGTGAGGGACCCTCAAAGTTGTGGTTCAACCCTAATAAAGAATACCTATTTATCTGTTTCATATACAAGTAGACTACACATACGTAAGAGCGTCTTACAAACAAAATTTGTATTCAATCAAAACAATTTAATTTATGAATTTTATTTGTTAATAATATTAGTATGTTCTGAATTATTATTTGTTTGTAATCAAGTTAAAATTAAAAAAAAAATGCAACTAAATAGTTTGAGCATTACAATTAAGTAATCAATTTTAACAAAAAAAAATTAAAATAAAACAACAACACAGTGTAAAATTCTAATATGAGATTAAATTTAAATAAAAAATTGTATTTTGTTTCAAAATAATTTAAAGAAGTATTTTTCAATTTTGTGTACATGTTTTGTTGGATTCGTGGCAGAGAAAGAAGAGCAGTTTTCCGGTCCTTGGAGGTGTGAGGTGGATGTGGGCCCCTTTTTAAACCCCACATGCATCATTTTGAATAATTCCGTACGTGTAGAGTGGACCCCATGATGTGTCAGACGTGTCATCGTTCAGTTCCTCCAAGCTGTCCTTTGCTTTGTCATTTTGGTTATACAAAATTACAAGTAGCAGCAGGGAGGGGTACAGCAAAATTAAAAGGGGTAATTGCAGAAAAAGACACAAACATTTGAAATATTAGAAGATTTTTTTCAAACTTTTAATTTATTGCATCGTCACCCCTAATATTTTCAACCATTGCATGTGAGCCCCTTTTCTACCCCACAAATCTCACACCCAACCACAAAACCACCCCACCCGTCTCTCATCATCGACACCAACAAAAATCGACTTCTCAACCCAAAACTCCACTTGTCGAAACCATCATCACTTGTCCCATGTCAGACTAATACATGGCCGACCTTCAAATTCCAAAGACTCACCTAAATTTGGAGGCACAATTTGGTGGCACAAACCTTCCAGCTATGGTGGCACGATTTCAACTTCAAATACTAGCCCAGATTTCACGCTCCTCATTAACGTTCTCACGTTCAATTGTCTCTCCTCTCTGTCCCGCAGCCTTAAATCTCTAGCTAAATATTTTTTCAATGGAAATTTGGTGAGAAGTTTGTGTATTATTAAACTTTAAATGTTGGGTTCAAGCTTAGTGGAATTATTTGAATCTGTGTGTGGGTCGCGAACTGGGAATTCAACTAGTGTGTTTTCCATAGTTGTTAGGATCATAATTGCATTTTTTCCAGTTGAATTCGTGGTTTGAAGCATGTTGGATGCATCAAATTGAGTGTGATAGGCTTGAGACTAGTCCGTTTGGTGGCTGCCAGCATGGGTGTTAGCCTAAAGGGGGTTGTAGACAGTATGTATGTAGCTAGAAAGGATGTTGTCGGCGGTTTGCGATGGAGGTGACGCCGACATCGGCACCAATGGTTGAAGAAAGTTGTGTGATTTTTCTTGTATTTATAATTTTGATTTAAGTTTTTAAATTATTTAATGTGGTAAACAGATAGTTACCATTTTGCCCCCTTTTAATTGATTAAAATATGGTCAAACTTAATTTTGGTGATCCACCGACAAAAAAATGGATGGAAACCATCCAAATAGCCTCACATGCAATGGTTGGAAATGTTAGGGGTGTCGACTGCAACAAATCAAAAGTTTGAAAAACATTTGGTAATGTTTCAAAGATTTGGGGCTTTTGCTACTATTATCCCAAATTAAAATGAGGCTGGAAATTATTGAAAATTTACCAACCTGTGACTATTTCATCTATTTTTCAATTAAATTGACATGCCGACGAGTTTCGTTTCGACCCTTAAAATACGAGTTCTCAATAGTTCTCAATATTTGAAAAGTGTACATGCTAGCATCGAAAGCATGAAGATCTCCACCGCAAACATGTTTGGATTCTTAACATTTTGAATTTGCATCACGTAATATTCATAAAGGGTAATGCTACGGGTACATAATCATTCACACAATGGTTCACATAATTACACGTGACATGTGATCCTGCTTTTAATTCAACTTTCACACGTACACATCAATAAGTGGATGATTGCGACATCATCATTATGTGAACCATTATGTAGAGGGTTATGTACAACTAGATTAATCCATTCATAAAATGGGCATGTCTGCATTGCGTGAACTCGTCCATCGCAAAACACGTTTTGGGTTCGTAACTTTACGTATCTGTTGAGCGCAATATCCACAAAAAGGACATACCTGTGTTTAATGTGTGAACATGTCCATTACAAAACAGATATGCTTGCATTTACGTG